CTTAGGCCGGTATTCATAGTCAGTTCTTATTTCAAGACCGTCTTAAGTAATGTCTTAAAATGCTAATACGGCTCTGTGATTGGTTTAGGACACCTTAAGATTGTGCTTAAGTGCCGGTCTACAATAGGTGATTTAAGCCTTAAGCCTTAAGAAATTGATCAATCACAATCAAGTATGAGGAGAATACTCGACTGTGATTAGTCGATTCCTTAAGACTTAGGGCTTAAATCACCTATTGTAGACCGGCACTAAGACGGTCTTAAATATAAGAACTGACTATGACTGCCGGCCTATGAATACCGGCCATAGGCCATAGGCCATAGGCCGGTATTCATAGTCAGTTCTTATATTTAAGACCGTCTTAAGGGTCGGCAGGAGAAACAGTAGAGACCTCTCGCGGGAAGCCGTGAATTACGAATTCGCTTATCCCGTATTACGGCCAAAAAATAAAGAGAATCATGTTAAACCTGTGATATTTGTAATCAATAGGATCATCCGCAGTCCTGTACAGAGCTATTTTTTTGAAAAAAAGAGTTAAAATAATATTTTATAAGTTGACAAGAAAGGTACATACTAGGTACAGCTCATGGCGGATTAGGTGCAGTTGGCCATGAGCTGTATTTCATTTATTATAAATTGCATCTTAAGACATTACTTAAGACGGTCTTGAAATAAGAACTGACTATGAATACCGGCCATAGTATCACTGATCTATGGCCGGTATTCATAATCAGTTCTTATATTTAAGACCATCTTAAGCACAAGCTTAAGATGTCCTAAACCAATCACAGAGCCGTATTAGGGCCGTGGCACATAAAAAAACTTAAGCAGTAAGACTTAAGACGTAAGCGAATTGACCAATCACGGTCGAACAGTAAGGCAGCCATATTGAAACGTAAGCTACGTTGAAAATTCCGTATGGTTGAAATTCTTAAGTCTTAAGTCTTACTGCTTAAGTTTTTTTATGTGCCCGGGCCCTTAGCATCTTAAGACATTACTTAAGGCCATCACACACAAAATTCCGTAAGGACGTAAGACGTAAGAAAATGGACCAATCCCAATCGAGTATTTGGCTCTCTGTAACCTCTCCACTTTTATGGAAAGCCCGATACTTGATTGGGATTGGTCAATTTTCTTACGCTTACGTCTTATGTCCTTAGGGCCACCGCACAAGATTTTCCGTAATGCATTACGTTACGTTAAGTACTGCTTCTAAACCTAAACACGTACGTAATCTTAAACTTCAGTCAACGCACAAACAAAATCGTAACGTAGTATGCTTTTGTTACGTTACGATTTTCTCTGTGCGTTGACTGAAGTTTAAGATTACGTACAAGTTTAGGTCTTAAAAGTTTTAAGAGCAAATGGGAATCGCCCATTTCGTTACTCTCGGTCTTTACATCACTAAAAACAGTATACTCTCCTACTCCTACAGCCTTGTTACTGCCATTGTAGAATGCCCTTTAAGATTGTGCTTAAGACGGTCTTAAATATAAGAACTGACGATGAATACCGGCCTATATCTATGGTCAGAGAGAAGCCTGAGAGAGGCAATGCCGGCGATTTTCGTGGGACGCTTTTTCTAGGCCGTAGAGCAGCGCCGTGCATCCATTTTTAAGAATTGGAAACACTTACCCACATCCACTTTTGCGTGCTGTCCTTGTTCTTCTAACGTATCGCTTTACAGTCGAGATACAACCTGAAAATGCTTTCTGGCCTCTCGTGGCAGAAAGCAGTAATGCAACAAGACTAACGGGCGCCTATTTTATGAGAACTTTATATTTGTATATATACATATGTGCATATATATGTTTAAATTATAGTTAAAATTATACGTGCAATTAAATACTGTATGTTGATCAATAATAATAGTAGAATAATAGGTAACAGAGTGAACAAATACGCAAGATGTAAGACAAAGGGTGCCTATTAGACTTGGTAACTTGTTGCTTCGTTACTATATAATATCGATTATACTTCGTATATCATATCAACGGGATAGAGAAATAGCACGATTGTCAATCCCTGTTTGACATTATTTTGTTAAGAATAACTTTTGTATTTGTCTTTTTTTTGTGAATTGCATTAACAAAATAATGTCAAACAAGGATTGACAATCGTGCTATTTCTCTATCCCGTTGATATGATATACGAAGTATCATCGATATTATATAGTAACGAAGCAACAAGTTACCAAGTCTAACAGGCACCCTCTGTCTTACATCTTGCGTATTTGTTCACTCTGTTACCTATTATTCAACTATTATTATTGATCAACATACAATATTTAATTGCACGTATAATTTTAACTATAATTTAAACATATATATGCACATATGTATATATACAAATATAAAATTCTCAAAAAATAGGCGCCCGTTAGTCTTGTTGCATTACTGCTTTCTGCCACGAGAGGCCAGAAAGCATTTTCAGGTTGTATCTCGACCGTAAAGCGATACGTTAGAAGAACAAGGACAGCACGCGATTGTCGCTCCTTGTCTAGATTTATCTCTCAACGATCGCATCCGTGTGCTCAACGTATCGGTGTGCCTTCACGGGTACTACACACATACGCGATGAAAGAGAGACAAAGACGGCGCGATCATCTCTCTTTGTCAAGCGATCAGTGTACTACCACTATCGAAAAGATCGAAAAGTGGATGTAGCACGGATATGAACCAAATGACCGACAGTATCGAAAAGTGGATGTAGCACGGACATGAACCATATGGAGATTTGACCGACAGTACCGAAAAGTGGATGTGGGTAAGTGTTTTCAATTCCTAAAAGTGGATGCACGGCGCTGCTCTACGGCCTAGAATAGAGACCCTCTAATCAGAGACTGGCCATAAGGGGGCCACTTTTGATTGGTCTAGAATTTTCGTCAACTCCCGCTCATATTTGAAATACACTAACCTTACCATTAACATTATTCAGAAATACAAATAAAAATAAACATTTAAAAGGAATTAAATATTAATGTTCTTTTTATGTACAACATTTTGAAACAATATAAGGCGATTTAAAAAAGAATATTAACTTACCCATCTCTGCTTTTTAGTATACTAATTGTGAGCCGCAGAGCTCCGTTTCTACTTAAATTAAAACAGAATTTGTCTTACGTCAAATTAAACAAAAAGAGTAAAAAATAATTATTGAAGTCAAAAACACTTTTAAATTTACAAAATTTATTTAAAAAAAGCATGTACAGCCATAGACTTACTATCGTAACGCTTATTACTACCATTATTATTAATATCGTTTTTACGCATTATTCTTAGTCTAAATACTGCAAACCTTTTAATTATTTTTAAAAATGATCATAGCCGCTACGTCCACAAACAAATTTAAATTGTAGAGCACGTTGAATAGTTTTATGAGACCAATTTCAACTTCGTTTTTTCATCATTAAAGTCTGGATTTGATCTTCGTTAAAAATTGATGTCAAAGCTCTTTTGTACTTACCGTTTTTAATTTTTGTTTCTAATATTTCTATCGTTTTTCTCTGAGTTTTTATTTTCCTTCTCATATTTATAACTTGTAGAAATTGTTTGTTTATAATTTCTGCTGTTCCTTTACATTGGCTATTTTTTCTTAAATTCATACAAGTCGCACATGAAGACTTAGAAGTAATTATCTGAAAAGAATTGTATGTCATACAAATATGTCAAAATTTTCTGTGTGTCATAGCGTTACTGTTTTAATACGTAATACTTATTTCACATCCCACATCTTGACTTTTATTATTAATCAATTGATTATTAGAAATATTATCTGGCACGTCATCATTATTTTCTGCCAACAATGAAGACTCTGAAGTATTCATAATTACCTGAAAAAAAATTAACGTATCGTACAAATACAGTAACATTTTCCGTTGTAGCATTATTGTTTTCAGACTTACTTCACATCCCACATTTTGACTTTCATTGTTCTTAATCGATAGATTATTATTCACCACGTTTTTATTTTTAAGAAAGAAACCGAATATAGTGGGAACTGCATCTTTTTTTAATTTTCTTTTTCCATCAAATCTTTGTTGCCACATATCAGGAGCAAAATGTACCTGTATAAAAAAAAAATGAATATTTAATCATAATTGATATACAATTTTTCTTAGAAAAAATATACAACATTAAAAATCAAAATTATTACAATAATTTTTAGTTTTTGAAATTTGCAAATTGCGATAAAAGTAAAATATAAAAGAGGAGATTACATATTATATATAGGTTATATACAGTAAGAAAAATAAATATCAGTATACAAATTAAACATAAAAAGCCAGTCTCTGATTAGAGGGTCTCTAGCCTAGAAAAAGCGTCTGACGAATATCGCCGGCATTGCCTCTCTCAGGCTTTTCTCTGCTATGGTACAGACAAAAAGTGTTGTGTGTGTGTGCGTGTGCTGTGTGCGCATGATGTGTATGTACATACTTTTCGGGGCCATGTATTTCGTAGGAGGTAGGAGTTAGCGATCTAGAAATATATAGAAGTCTGTGCTCATGAAGTGATGGTTTCTGCTTCATTCTGCTTCCTAAAATTGAATTACAAACAACATGGCGTTTTCTGTAACTGTTAACAATCTTTTCGTACTCGTTCTAACACTCGCAATTTTCTTTGTTTCTTTAGCGAATTCTGCGAACAGTTATTACGCGTCTGCGAGAGTCGAGGTAAATTTGATATTTATGTTAAATTGTAACAGATGATGTGATTATTTAATAATACGCACCGCGTTTACGCGAACGCATTTTTCATATATTATACGTGTAATCGGGATATACGTGATTATTACATTTGCTCAACAAGTGCTTATTATTCGAATGAAAATTTACGTATCAAGAGATTATAATTGTATATTTCTTATAGAGATCGATGTATTATAATGTTAATGTTATTTGTTGTTTATTTTTCAGAGTTGTAGAGGTTGCTCGCTCAATCGACTGCCGGATGTCAAGCAATTTATCTTTAAAGATCTGCCAAACTAGTATCCTTTATAATGCCATTATAATTATGATTGTGATCGTTTTACTATACACACACACATGTGTATGTATGTATGTATTTTAATTATCTGATGTAAATATATATTACATGTTTTTAACACCTACTAACTTTTTTATTAAAAATGAGCCAAATTGTCTTTCGATGCAAGATAAATTAAAAACTAAAAATTATAGTATATAAGAGAGAAAAAAGAAAATTATTTTACTTCTTGATATTGCAATGTGAAATTTTAGAAACTATCCTTAATAAATATATAATAGCAACAATGTGGAATTCAGACATATACAAGGTGCGATACCAGAGCTTGTACTGTTCAACGAACATGAAGAGGTTTGACAATAAGAATAACTAACTTAATGTAATTGAACGTAATTTGCTATCATCAATTAATCTTTGAAAATATTGCAGGAAGTGGAACGATTGGTATTGTCTAGATTGACTCGGGAAGAATGTAATGAACTGCTAATCTCTAAAGGTTTCAGTAAAAAATCCAAAGACAATAAGGATGAGATGTAATTCTTCAAGTCAATGTATACTTATTGCAAGAAACATTAGCCTAGTCACAAATAACTCTAAAAAAAAGAATTATTCCTAAAAAGTTTTTTTTAATTATAAAACTTGTTAAACTGTGTTTTGTTTATAATTTGTCTTACTATATTTTATACTTAATAATAATTTCTAAAATATTTGTTTAGAGTTTTAATATACATTATAGATATATTTAAAACAAGAAAAGATCATGTTTCGATAATATTAAGAATAAGCAATATATATTGTGTAAAAAATATCAAATAATATCAGGAACAAAATTGTTTTATCTTTTTTCCTTCAATTATTATTATTTCCTTAACATGAACATTAATACAGTACAGAAAGGGGAATATTTACTTTCACTAAAAAGCTGCAATCTGTGATGGACTATATCTAGCAAATTATGATATTTTATATTATGGTACATTTTATAAGCTTTTTTATTTATACTATATTCTTTATTTCTAGTAATTTTTTAAACTTTGGTAAAATTTTTCTCTTACCCCAAAGGAATTAAAATTATTATTATATTAATTTTTTTAACAATACAATAGTAAGTATCTTTCAACTAATCTTCAATATATGTATGTATTAAGCTATTTGTGAAATTAGTATTTTTATAATGCACTAAATCTTTATAAGCCGACTTTTTGCAAAGAAACTGAATTTACAAAGAACTAGCGACGTGTGTGTGTGTGTGTGTGTGTGTGTTAATATAATCTAAAAGGCAGTTTCTCTAAAAAGTCATAATTACTTAAATTTATCTTAACTAAACTTTTAAGAGTTTTAGAATAATATTGTTATACAATTATTAAAAACAAAATTGTAAATTGTTGGTTGTAAAATATATGCTTTTTAATGCACAATAACTTACATAATAATAATTAACAAAAATCTGTATATTTACCATTGCTATATATAAATATATATATAATATATTCTTTGACTTTTTAATGTTTAGTATATAATTATATGTTTATTCTTCTTTTTTCTCTCTTTCCATATATTATATAAATTTTATTTACAAAATTTTAAAACATTAATCTAACAACATAAATATACAAATAAATGATGTAAATTATTCTCTCTTTTTACTTAACAAAAATATGAAAGAAAATGTGCAAGAGCACATTTGTTAATTAATGACTTCTTTTGTAGAATATAGCCATTTCAAACAAATTACAATTCAATAATTCAAGATTCCAAAGTATGTAAAAAATTTGCGTAGACTTGTAGCAGAGAAACAAAAACGAGGATCATTAAATTAAAGAACAAACAACTTTCATTAATAGTCTTGCGAGAATCCAGTTTTTATATTGTGTTATATTACAATATATATCATCATTCGAACGCGTATCTTACTCTAGATTATATGTATATATACACACTGTTCAAACCCCTGCAGTTCCATATAAAACCGCGTCATTTATCGTAACGATGTACATTAATATTTCCTCTATATTCTCGCTTAAGTTATACATTGTTATGCATTAAATATGTTAGATAGCGACTTACGTATACCCTCTCTCTCTCTCTCTCTCTCTCTCTCTCTTATAACGAAATAATATATTTATATAATACATACATACACAAATAGAATAAAGAAAGTGACTATAAAATAACAGAGCTGTTCAAATTGGAAAGAAATCATTTCGTACTTTGAAGCACGCAAATGCCGACGAAATTGTGTGAAATTTGCATGAACAAATTGCACATCATATTTTTTTCAATTTTTCTAGAGAGAAAGTGGAAACAAATTTTAATTGGATGGTTTTTTGAGATATACATAAATTCGTTTTTCTTTTTCAGAAAGTGTTTGCAGACAGAAACCAATGTAATATTATGATTATTATGGAAAACGATATCATAAATAAGACAAAGTATTACAAGTTATCAAGCAGATTGGTATCTTCAAATTTAGGAGCAATGTTACGCCATCAACAGCCAACAGATGAATATTACCGCTAACCATAAAAATACTTTAGATAAAAACTGTTCTTCTTCATATTGCGGTGTGCCTCTGGGAGCTGCAAATTAATAATTTTAAATTGCCTCTCAAACATTATTTTAATTATTGCCGAAATATAAGATTGATCACAAAATTCGTTTATCTTTTATTCATTAATATAAATGCAAAAAAAATAATTAACAAACTTTAATTAATTTTATAAAAAAAATTATTGAGAAATTAAATATTATATATAAATTAAAACTAAAAATAAAATTGTAATTTTGTTATTATGTATGCAGTTATGCATATATTATGCATGCATATTCATTGCACATTGTTGTATTGTCATGATTTTATATTATGTAACTCATGTAACTTATAAGTATTACCTGCACTTGGTCGTGCTTCTCCGAAGTTAAAAGTTGACGTGAAAAAAGCAAACGGAAAAGTGCCGATGCCAAAGGACATGTAGGAACCATCGCCGAAACCGAAGCCGGAGAAGCCGACATTGGTCTCCGGCTCTGATCTTTGACCGGCTGGACGTGGTGGTACATTGTTCCTGAAAACGTTTCACTAATTGAATATATATTATATTATTTAGCTTGACATTTAATTTTTCTATTATTATTTATTTTTATTCTATTATTATCTATTATATGTATATGTGTTTATAATGCAAAAAAATAGATTTTACAAGATATTTTTTGTATATATATTACTAAATATAATTAATATAATTTAAGTATAACATGCAATATAAAACTGAGATTAATAACTATAATAACTGATTTTAGCAGACAAAATAAATTATACCTTGGATCCTCATGCTTTGTGGCACCACGTCCGTATAATGGAATGACTTTGTCTTTGCTTATGGCAGCTTTGCATACTGGACAGACCTGCCTGGCAGGTCTGGTTTCCAACCACTGATGCAGACATGGCCAACTGCATTGTTATCACTTATATTATTCAGATTATCATAGATAATTTTTTGTTCTCTGATGTATTATGTTGGATGAATAGTTACCAAAAGAGGTGACCGCACATACTGACTACCGCATCTTTTGCAGTGTCTAAACAGATATTACACTCAAACATCCTGTCATCCTTTTCTTTCTCCTCCGCGGAGCCCGCAGATCCCGACGATTTAGACGGGCCTGCTTGTTCCCTTGTCCTACTCATTCTTCAAGCTTTCTGTAATCATACATCCCTTATTTCACAAATATCCTCATATTTATAGAAAAATAACAGAGTAATCAATGCATCAAATATTTATAAATATTTAATAATCTTAAAAGAACTGCATAATTATAACTTTTAACAAACAGGAAGGAAAATTTATAAGTTGCACAATTCCTAATTACACAGTTGGAAATTTATAACTATGAAATGTACATATAACTCGAAAAAATTAATGTGTTGACTAATGTGTTGACTAATCGTAAGATAATGTGTGTAAAACGATTATATCTATATTGTTATAACTTTAAATTTGATAAAAATAATATGCAAATTATTTTTTGCAATTATATACAATTTAGGTTTACAATGCATGTAACAATGGATTATTTCTCGTAAAATTACCAATCACTACGCAATTTTTAAATTGCATTTTGTATGCGAACATTTGATATTAAAGAGATAAATAGCATAGATATATGTATATACTTGCGAACACTAGGAATTTTGTGTCCATGAAAAAAAAATATAAAATTGATATCAGAAATACAAATTTATATGAGAATTATCCAGCATACATGGAAACCTTTATTTTACATTTTCGAGACAATATCAGGGTCAAAGTATTGACCCAGTATTGGTAAACACTTGGGCGTGACACATGTGCAGTCATGCATAAAATATTATTCAATGTTGAAATTTCAAGTCATTTACCATATTTTACTGAAACGTGTGATTAGAAAATAAATAATAATATAATCAGGCACAAATTTATTTTGTGCAAGTCTTTCTCTACCTTTGTGAAAAGGACAAAATATTAATTTCTATCACTTCATATTAAATAGATTTGTGTGTGTGTATGTATGTGATGCGTTCCTTAAGAAATTAATGAACGCATTCTTGCACCTGTCATACCAAGCTTGTCAAAGATCGAAAATAAATCGTCTTATACACACATGCGCTCGCGCGTACACACATACTCACTTTACCACGTCATTCCGTTTTGTTACACTCATTAGACACACACATGATTACGTTGATGCATTATCAAATTATTTAACATTTTTATTGACAACTTTCAGAGCCCCTTTAAAAGTATTATTTATCATTTTTTTTGTTTCCACAGTAAATATCTCTCTATCTCCAAAAAATTACTACTCTTCCTTTCTTTTTTCCATAACCTTATTATTATATTGCGCGCATGCACATATATGATTTTCCAATTTTCATAGATTTATGCTAATATATACTCGTTAACCCGTTTCATCAAACTTTTAATTTCTTTTTGTTTAATTTCTTTCTTTTACCTCTAATTATTTGTGTCAACAGTTTTGTAATCTGTTACTGTTTTTTTTTTACACACACATCAGAACACCACCTCTCCCTACATATGATACTTTCTCTCTCTCTACATCATTATACTTATCATACGTATTTCATATATCTACTAATTCCCACGCTTATATATTATCCACTTTTTATAATTTTCTCCAACACGATTTCTCCGTTATTCAATTTTCTTTCTGCATTTGTTAATTATATATATTTTTTTCATTAAACTTTTTATATATTTTATCGTATGATATATATA